ACACGTTGTTGAATGGTATAGTAGAGGTTGGAATTTTCCGAAAAATCCTTAGTCGACTACTAGTTGGTCAAAAATTTCTTTAGTCAACTAATTAGTCGACTAAATTTTTTTTATATAATAATACAGTCAAACCTTGATAAACTGAACTACCATAAACCGATTTTCACTTTATAATGATGCAAAATTGGCTAACCAAATCATATTTAATAAAAATTATTTTCGTTTAAGCCAAATTTTATTATAATTTCTACTTTACTTGATAATGGTTTGTACAAAATAATAAAAATATAACTTTCTAAGCCAAATATGGGTTTTAAAAATTCATATAATGATGAAATTCAGTTTAAAAATGGTCGATCACCCAACAATCAAGTTTAGTCAAATTTAGTCAAGATGATTATTATTAAATTAGGCTTTTAACCCTTTACACTGCCAGCCCTGTTTGTATCATAAACCGAATTTTGTCCTTTCAGCTCAAATTGTAAAGCTTCCAAGATCAAATTTATTCTAGAAGAAATATCAACACTGGAACATGTAAAAAAAAGAAGGCTAGATTTGTATAAACATTGGAATTGTATTCTCTGCAACAATGAAAAAGAAGATTTCAATCATGTCCTCAAAACAAACAGAAAAGTACAACAAATCTGTCATGAAACAAAGGAAGAGCTATACAACCAAATCAAGAATAACAAGAAAAACAATAATAATAGCAACCTGAACAATCTCACATTTATTGACATACTCAAGGATATTGTTCCTTCTTTTATTACCAACATTAATTAAATTCAAATATTAAAATTATCTATAAAATCCCAAATGATCTAATTATTTTTCTGCTCATCCTGTTTTGTTTGTGTTGCTTATAATTAAATAGCTATATCGTTGAATAATAGAGATACACTCAGTGGACAAAAGTTTGTGTCCAAAATTTCTTTTGATTTTATTTTAAAATTACACTAATTAAAATATTGTAATCTTTATATCATTCGAAAACTCTTGTTCTTAATAATATGTTTGTGATATTAAATTTTGAAGACCTGATTATCATGTTATATATATGCTTATTTAAATCCCTTGTTATTATGTAGTAGTATTATATATGTTATTATTATAGTCAGTGTTGTGCAATTTCATTGTACGAACATACAATGATTTTCTGTGGTGATAAAATATTATTTTATAATAATATTATGCTGTCAGCCCTATTACTATTACAATTACTATAATTAAAGGTCGTAACAGATTGTAATACTACTTTGTCATCAGAAAAACCTTGATTATCATATTATACTTACATTATCCTGGGTGCATTACTGTTAGTAGTATTAGTAGTATTATTATTACCATGATTCCTAAATTTTTTTTCTATTTATTTATAATGTAATAAAAAAATTATCTTTACATTCTTGTTAATTATATTATCAATTCAAAATAATTAATAGTAGTATTAAATATCTTCAATCATATACAGTATTTATATATTTTTACATGTGATATGCAAAGCAAAATTTTTAAAAATCCGTTATGACAAGAGTTTGATTATTATTATAGTTCGCTGTGACAAAAGTTGACGAATTTAACATATACTGTATATATATATATATATTTTTTTTTTTTAACGACGTAATCTTGTTGTGACATTTATTAATTTTAAAATTGATTAGAAATATGTAATACATATATATATAAAAAAAAATTTAAATTATTTACAATGCACAACTCCCCCCCGTTTTACCATAGAATAGCAGTCAAATGATATGTCACAGGAAGTGTAATTACATATATAAAATAGAAAACCTGACTCGTGTAACAAATCAGTTTTTTAAAATATCTCATTATTTTTATAAAAATACAAACATCATTATTAATCAAAAATAAAACTATGGCATTATAGCTTTCTAATGAGCCCACTTCCATATTGATA